TAGTTTTTGTACATGGTTTTATTTTATATTAGTAATACAATATGAATCCATCAAGGTCTTGAACATTTCATTTTGGTTCAATTTTATTTTTTACACAAGATGTTTTTATGAAGGAAACTTACGTTAGTTTCCTACATAAACTCTGAAACTTAGTATTGTACCGTTTAATGTTCTTTTAGCAACTTGTTTTATCAATAAAGTATTACGTATTTTTAAAAGGTTTTAAAAAGAGAATATTAGCTTTTCCATGTTAGTCCAAGATACGATATGGATGATGCTAGCCAGAACAAAATTCCAATAAAAGGAAAGACGCTGTTTGTTGCGAATTAGGAAATCAATAAACAATTAAAGATATTATGTTTTTGTTGTTTTCTTTAACTCATTTTGTTTTCAATAATTATTTCTTTTTAATTATGCACGGCCTTGATGAAAAACACCCATGGGTGATTCAAGTGTCTCTGTGTTTAAATAAAGTATATTATTATTATTATTAAACACAACTTTCAGATTTCATAATTTTTATTAGAAATTCACTGAAAACATTCCGTGTTTATCATACAAGTACCGTATCTGTTATGGGAGTTATGAGTTTCAAAGGTTAGTTAATATTAATAATGATATTCAATATTAGTCATGGGGGGGGGGCGACNNNTAGGGGGCGACTTACTAGGGGGCGACTTGGTTAGGGGGAAATTTGACAAGGGGGAGACTTTGTAGGGGCGACTTTGCAGGGGGAAACTTTACAAGGGGGCGACTTGACTGGTATTTGCTAGTAGCTTACAGTACAGATAGGCTAGGCATAGAGCAGACCTGCTTTGTCTGCAAAAAGAGAGCTGCTTGTACAAACATATGAATATGCAATATTACAAAATATTTGAAAATGCTATGCCTAAGACTTTTAGAAAGATTAAGAATATAACTACTAGGCTAGGCTAATACTTCTAGGCCTAGACTACTACTAGGCCTAGAACTAGGGTAGGCCTAGGCTTTTCTTTTGGTGGACAGTCAGCTGTAAATACGAGAGGAACAGCTATTAGGTGGACAAACTGGTGGAGGCTTCAGTTGTGGAAGTCAAGGGTATTAAAATGACTAGTTATTTTCATATAAATCAGGGGTTGAAAATCGTATTATTTTATACATTTCTCTCATTTATGGAAGGTGGGGCTAGGTAGTAGGTCTAAGCTTAGGCCAAGGCCTACTTCTTCCGCAAAAGTCTGTTGCAAGATTAATACAAAAAGACAAAAAAAAAAAAAAAAAACCATATGTGATGTTATTTTGAGGTTATTGTTCTACATGTTTGTAATTTTAACTATTTATACGTGGCTGGGAACTATTTATTATTGATTTTGATGCTTAATGAATTTATATTTTTCTCTCTTTATTGATGATTTAAATATTTTATATTCTCAAGATATTCAGCTATAAAATTAATATATCTTTTTTCTTCATACAGGGCTGGAAAAAATTCTACTCTCAGGAACTGTTGGAGATGGATTTAGCTTTGGTATTTCAGTGACACCAACCCAACCAGTTTCTAGTAAATACATATACTGTATTATTAAATTACAAGATATCTAAAAATTATTATTATTTAATTAATGAATGATCATAGTTTTAAAATATAAATAAATTTTATCTATTTTTGTTAATACCTAAGTAAGTTTTTGATTTCAAGATTGCTTTACATTTTTAAGTGATTTATATTAAATTGAAAAAGTATCAGCATTTTATTTGTATTTTTAAAAAACATTTTAAAATGAATTGAATGAAGACTTTATTGTTAGTGATAGTGAGATTCTTTGATTACCCTTTTTACTAATGATGATAAAATACACCATTGAGTTATTATTTTTATTATATTATTTTTACTTTTTTGTTTTCTTAAAATACATAATTTCTTCAGATACTGGATCGTTTATTACTCCAAACACTACTTCAACTACTGGTCTAACTTCTGGAGGATTCAAGTTAGGTGGTCAAGGGTCCACAGGCCTAAATCTTGGTGGTGCTAAAACTATTGGGCAAGTGGCAACAACACTGAAGCTTGGTGGTATTGCAACATCTACAGCCATAACTACTACTCTTCTCTAGGACTGTCTCTTATACACATCTAGATGTGTATAAGAGACAGCTCCTTCGGCGCTCCATATATTTGTTCCAAATAAACCGCGACCGAAACGAAGCGCGACCGAAATGATCGGCTACCA